GGTCTGGTTGCTATGGTTTTTGTGACGTTCAGCGTGTAGGGACGCACGTGCGCCTAGAATGTCGATGCCAGAGTTATAACCTTTGATGTCCCGAGATGTGCGTCCTTTTGTTGAATTACCTTGGTTGAGTATATTGATATTGATTATGCGATGAAGTTTTTTTTTGTCTTTCGTTGTGATTAAAACATGCCAATTTTCAGAAAATATTTTCCAGTTTGATTATATTACCATCTTTTATTACATAATCTTTTTCAAAACATAACTGCTTTTATAACATTGTATAGACCCAAACACAAAAACCGCTCTGGCTTCGGAGGCTTCGCCCACAACCCCACCGGGGCCCTTAGGCAGTCCCCTGGACCCCACGCCCAGAGAACCCCCCCTTGAAATGACCTGGCTACGGGCCTGAAAGACCATGTTGTATGTAAACACTGCCTAGTCAGTTTGTTAGACTAAGGTCAGGAGTTGTCAGATCTAATTTTTGGTTCCTATGCTTGCAAGCATAGGAACTTTTAAAATCCTGCTCGTGTGTATGTAGTATGTACGTTACTAGTATGTTACGCAGTTTTATGTAAACAGGCAAACGTGACTTTCCAGACATCTGTTTGTTTTTTGCGTCCGTACCCAAGCTAATCTGGATCTTTTGTTGTGCCCTATTTCATAGTTTTCTATTTTGACAAATACTAAAGCCATACTAATGAGAGACAATACCCCCTACTCTTGAAAAGACTAGTAAACTGTATGATAAGAGGAAAACATTTATTTTAATGTTGTGTACTCCGGTTGTCCAAACTAACTGTCTTAAATGTGATGGATCGGACTCCAGGGACTTTCCTGGCTGGTATGGATATAAAACTTTATCTGCACTCCAAAAACCTCAATTTTTTACTATTGCAGTTCGGATAAGGTTCTACAGCAGACAGAATAGAATTGTCATTTTCAACAAGATTGTTTTATTCTGGGCCTAGCTATTAATTTAATTAATTTATCAAAGCCCTGGATTCTTTTGACTAGGCCTGGCCTAGCCTACGCAAATTCAACACATTATTTAATAATACGTACAGTACCTGTTGTTTTGCTGTACTGCTCAGCAAATTTAATTATTACCAATAAAATTGATGCGATTTTTATATTGTTTTTGCGTGCATTTCTTTAGGTCTGATTATGTTTTTCCAAGCACATATTCTTCGTTGGGTAATGCTGGTCGGCAGTCTAGTTGTAAACAGAATAGGTCGCGCCCCCAAAAACTCTGCCTGCCCACCAATTGGTCCATTTTCGTGGGGTGTTTTGCACTAGACATGTGCTTCGGCTGTGATGACGTCAGATCGCCCAAAATTTCATAGTGCGTGACAGTAAACAAGCTCGGTGTAATCAAGAATGTTTTGTTGAACAAATTTATAAAACAAAGCAAAAAAACAAATAAGAAACCCTCATGGTATTATTTTAGAGTCAAATCTAAATAAACCTAACAAATTAGATTTTATTCTCTACAAATTTCCTCCGTAATAAAATTAGCAACATGTTTTGAATAGCATCTTGAGGTGCATTTGCAATTTACACTGGACGAATCTAACAAATTTGAATTAGACGTCTACTAAAAAGAATAACCAGTATGAACTTGCTTTGTCGAGTTCCGTCTTTATTTCAGGTTGATTCCAAATGGTTTTTAAGGATTAAAAGCAAGAATATACACTAATTAAAACATTGGAATGCGTACCTAAATTTCACTTCATAATTAACCAACAAAACGTCTACTGGCGTGTCATGTTAATCAACGGATAATCTCCATGGCAATGCGAGTACAGCTAAGCGTCTCGTTTTCACAGCGTGTGGTATGCTTGTCGTTAAACGATGTCTATTTAACTACAGTCCTGAATTGGACAAATCGTCCGAGATTCGGAATAGGGAGTTCATGTTTTCAGGAAAGTTTTGGGAAAATGTTCGGTTTTGCATGAAATTCGATTTTGTGGGCATTGAGTACACATAGTATTGTTCAATGTCAATATTTTTTTTCCCGAAAATTTGCAAGTCGAAATCTGTATAACTCGATCTTTTTATGCCAGTCCCATTAGATTCGACTTATGCGGAGTCGACTGTATATAGCCTACATATAATATATTAGCAAATACATCATTATTATTAATAACTGATGAGGATGATGATGCTAATTAATTGTGATTTTGATTTTAATGATGATGATGATATTAATGATAATGACATGTTGATGTTGAGGATAATAATGACAGTGATGCTGATAAACATAATAACAATAATGAAATTAATATTAATCAAAATCATATTCATATGTACATATATCATGTACTGGTATATATAAATATAAGCCTATATTATAATATATATATATATATATATATAAACAACAGTGCTCGGTGCATAAGCAGAACAATATAAAATCAAAACAAGATGACGCTTGGTTACAAATTCAACATTTTATTGCACTACAGGCTGTTCCATGAGGTACTTCTAGCACCTGATGATTGCCATGATTACATACGATAAAACTGAAACTATCTGCCCTTAAATGTGTTTGTCATCTCAAATTAACACGAGCACTCCCTCTTTAGTTGCCATGTCTACATCATCGAAAATACAGTAGTGTAATATTTTACGAATGCCCGCATAGGAACCTTCGCCCTCGCAGAGGTCTGGTTACTAATACTGGTGCACCACAATGTACTGCGTTAGCGTCCTTCCTCTTTACTATACTTTGCCGATTACATAACTGATCAAACAAATTGTCTTGAAATAAAATTTGCTGATGACACTGCACTCATTGGGTTGATAAAGGGAGATGGTGATTCTGGATATATACAGGAAATAAATAGAATATTGTAATGTAAATTTCTTATAATTGACTATATCGAAAACAAAAGAGAAAATAGTAATCAAGAATTCAAG